ACAGAAGTCATTGTGAAAAGTACATAAAAGCGAACAAGAAATATGCGGCTGGTATGAATAATGAAGGCATAATATTGTATACATTGACACATGCTAATGAGGTATTAAAAGAAAATGATTATTACGATACAATATTGTACCAATATCAGCTCAATACATCTAAAATTGTACATGCATCTTTGCGAGATGACCCACCCTCAACTTCCCTTAATAGCCAGATATTTAGTTTCCTTAGACTGTAAATTTAATCTGCATTTACACTGACATTGGTAGTCATTGTAAATTAAAACAAAGTTAAAAAGGAAACTTTCACAGCACAATAAACCAGTTTTAATCACCAATTAGATTTCATTGCTTTTATTTAAGTTGCTGTGAGAGGCCAACTTTAAAAGACCAAACAAAAGCCTGTTTTTGTGCTTGTTTTTTTTTTTTAAATGATAAGAAAACAAAGGATTTGTTCATGCTGGGACCAACGGATTCTGTCAACATATACGTTTATTTTTTATCTCAACATCAACATAAGCATGACAATTTTGGTTGTAAGAGTAGACCAAGGGACCAGGACTTTGCTATTTTGTTGAGATAGGTGGCTTGTCAACATAAGTGATGTCAACATAATTGGGTACGACTGTATGTGGCATTTTTCAAATCCATCATGATCTATCAAAATTTAAGTTTATTACACTTGTTGAATAAAATAAAGTAAAATTTTTATCTACCCACAAAGATTTATTAACACATCCATTGTCATCCTTGCCTAACTCTACTGATATTTCTTGAAAAGCCTTGTATTAATTTTATGTGGCAAATATAAAGGCTATTACATTTTGCATATGTGTGGTTGCACTTAAGTTGAGTTCTTTGGGTGAAAGCAACAAATTTCATTTTAGAATAATCCTTTATGTTAGTTTATGTAATCCTTTTTAATTTTGTATTATTAGATCTGCTGGTCCTAGACCAGAAGAGCTTAGGAATGGCCTTTTGTCCATGGTCCAATACCCATCCATTTATCAAAACACACACACACACACACACACACACACACACACACACACACACACACACACAGAGAAGAGCTTATGGAATGGCCTGTTGTCCATGGTCCAATTATAACCCATCCATTCATCAAAACACACATACACACACACACACATACACACACAGCTTATGGGATGGCCTGTTGTCCATGGTCCAATACCCATACATACAACAACAACAACAACACACACACACACACACACACAGAGCTTATGGGACTGCCTGTTCTCCATGATCCAATACCCGTCCATACATCAACACACACATACACACACACACACACACACACACACACACAGCTTATGGGATGGCCTGTTGTCCATGGTCCAATACCCATCCATACAACAACACATATGCACACACACACACACACACACACACACACAAACATACGCACACACATGCATGCACACACATACACACACATTCACTGAATGCCTAATTGGTCCTAAATGAAAACTCTAAAAATTCAATAAGGCAATCATGGCTTCCTGCTTAAAAGTGTGTTATTGCTACTCATTCTGAATGAAATGTCACATCAGCATGGGGTTTTCACCAAAAGACTAATTAGGATATCTTGTTCGCCCTGACAGATTCAAAATTTTGTCACTTCTGAATGGATGGTCATAGCAAGCATTGGGTTTTACAAAATGTGTTCTAATGGGTCTAGTTAAATGAAAATGGTATTAATCCTAAATCCAGCATGGCTGACACAGTGGCTAATTTGGAAACCTTATCGCACAAGAATATCAGAGAAGGTTTCAGCATTTAGCAGTTAAATAGAAAGAATGGTCTTCTCTTGAGTAGCAGAAAATAATTTTCAGAGTCGAGTGTCCCTTTGAGCGATTTTTGGGTATTATTTATCTTTATATATTCATTATACATTGGTAATTTGAAAATTAAATAAGTAAATATGTGTATCTGTATAGTCAGGCAGTTCATTTCTTTAGATATATGTATATTTAATTAATTTCAAGTATAAGTATTTGTAAGATTGAGAAAGTAACAGGTAGCTTTAAATATTGTTTAATATTGTTTAATATTTTAAAATATGTTTAAATATTGTTTAATATTGTTTTTTTCTTTTGCAGGACTTCTCATGGTTAAATGAAATACAACCAAGCAAAATGTGAAGAGTTTATAAATCCTGTACAACATGAATCAAAGAAAATATAAAGAATCATTCTCTCTCCAGTTAAAATTTAATTGATTTTTGATACATTCCATTCTCAGTTAAAAAAAATGATGGCCTCAATAAAATGATGTATAATTGGACGTCTTTGCCTGAAACACATATTTTCTTCTTTTTCTTTAAATAAAATATGTTTTTTGTTTTGATAATGAAGAAAATAAAGTAGCTTAAAGCTACTCCTTTATTTAAAATAATAATTTGTCTGGCTGTTCAGAGCAGACATTTTATATGAAACAGAATCATTTGTTTCTTTCAAAAATTAAAATGAAAATTAAACATTTTGCATACACAATAATTAATTGTTAACATGGTTACAGTATATATATATATATATATATATATATATATATATATATATATATATATATATATATATATATATATATATATATATATATATATATATATGCACAAATCCTATCGTAAGGCTACAGTGTCTTAAATGCAACTATTTGGCGACATCGTTGTATATTGTATATTTGTGAATACATACGATTTGATTATGCCTATATAGTGAATACTAAAAGAAATATAAAAATGATGCGAAAAAGTGGTAAAATAAAATAAATTACAAACTTACATATTTTTTCACCCATTTACTGTAGCCAAAAGGTAAAATGATGTACACTCATGCATATAACCAACCTTTGGGCAACCAGTAGCCGAAAGGTTCATTTGTCGTCCAAAGGTTTTGTATATATCTCGCACAGATAATAATTTGTGTCACCTAACATATACAGAGGGGAGTATAAGTCTCGTGTTAAAATAGCTTAGGCATGGACAAGGAATGGAAGGAACCCATGAAACAGAAATCCAACCAGGTACTCATACCTCGAAAATAAAAGATGAATCTGAATTCAAAATAAATATACAAACATTCTCTTCAAAATTCCTTTTCATTTTTCATGATAAACCACAACAATAGATCCTTGGGAACACAAATATGTAAAACAGCTTTACAACTTTCAGATAAAGGGGATGGGGTCACTTCAAGGACTTATCAATTTACATATTTAAGGGTGTGCACAAAAAATAAAACAAATGTTCCTGTAAGTAGCTACGAGGTAAAAATGCTGTTGTTAAAATAAAGTTTTTTTTAAAAAATGTTTGCAAGTAATATCGTCATCAGTATACATCAAATGTTTAGGAAAGTTTAAAGGTACATTTCACCTTTGCTGCAAGATCAGCCTTGCTTTTTAGTCTGATTGCAAATTTCAACAACACTTAATATATAATGAGAGAGAGAGAGAGAGAGAGAGAGAGAGAGAGAGAGAGAGAGAGAGAGAGAGAGAGAGATGCTGTTTTTAATTAAATATGTAATGAAGAAAGTTAGTTTTAGTAAATAAACTATTTTATAAGCTCATTTAAGCAAAGTATCCATGAAAAAAGACATCTGTTTTCTTCTATTGTAAATATGGCTCATAAACACACAATGCGTATTTTTGTTTATTTTTGTGTTTAGAACTATACTGAATTTCTTTGAATGTCATGTCTGGGGGTAATTATGATTATAATGGTTTCAATTCAATCTGTGCTGAGTCGACTTTTCTTTCAAAAGAGTAAAGATAAAAGGATTAAAATGGTAGTCTCAAATTTTAATTTTAATGAAAAAGAATGGGTTTCCTCACTGGTTATATTGGGCATTTAAAAGGACCTTGTATATCTTAAGTATTGTTCGAAGAATCTTAATTTCTTTTATTTTGGTGTATGTATGATATGTGTCTGTAATATCAGCTATAGAAAAACACTCCACATAACTGTTGAAACAATTAGAAAACTATTATGAAACTATTAGTCATTCATTTCTTCAATTTCAGTGAAATCCAATTGTGAAGCTGTTTACTCACTCTTTTTACAACATCACAAAAGTCCAGCATGAAAATATGCAAACACTTTCATAATGATATATCTATCTATTTAAAAACAATCTAGATACAACATATACCTAAATATGTTTAAGCAATTTTATTTTCTTTTCAAAATGTGCCATACATTGTACATATTTTCAATGTAAGTGTGTGGCTGGACTGGATGGCAGCAAGTTGTGATGGATTATGAGAATGATGAAAGGATGATAGAATATATTTAAAGTGGTGCTCCATAGTTTCATATTTAGCATAGGGTTAGAATTTTTAAGAAAATGAATTTCCTCGGGTTTCCTCACTAGTTATACTGGCTATTTAAAAAAGACTTTGTATATCTTAGGTATTGTTCAAAGAACCTCTAATTCCCTTTATTTTGGTGTATGATTGATGGGTGTAATATGGGTTAGAGAGTATACAGCTTGGCCTTGCTCCAGATGTGCACCTTTCAAAAAAGTGCTAGCTCTATTTGCTCATTTTCACTTTTTGAACTTCAGAGGTAAATTGTAAAAAAAAGAGCCGATAACTTTTTAAAATTTTTTATGTATTTTGTAATTCATTCATTGCACTTTAAGAAACTAGTTTTGTCTAGCTTGGCAATTTTCATTTCCCTATTTTGATAGCTGCCAAGAATAGTATACTTTAGACAAATTCAGGTTGATTTTTGGAGCAAAAGGGTAGTACAATATCCAAAGAAATTTCAGCCACATTACATGAAAGTAGCATATAGGTATGCCAACATTCTCTCCACTGTGCATGTTTAAAATGCAAACAACTTCACCTTACATACATAACTCTCTCAAAAATACATAATAACTGGTGAGTGCCACCTAACTTACATGCAAGTTGACAATCAGACCTTTTGTATAAACCAGGCAATTTGTAATTTGCTAACCTTTTCAATAAAAGGACTTGCGATAGCTCAGTCAGTAGAAAGTTGGATTCATAATCCAAGGGTTATGGGTTCAATGCCCACCCAACCAAGCCCAGCTTTGCTTTCTCAGAATGTCCTGAAAAGGCGCTTGGTACCATTTTCTCATTTTAGATAGCAAACATGAAGCAAAACATTGAGGAAAGGAGTGTATGTAATGGTTGTGATGGCATTCATTCTTAGAAATGGCTGTAGTTAAGTTGCAGCTAATTGTGTGATTAATTAATTAATCAATTAATAATCTACCTGACTAGAAGACAATAATGATCAAAGTAGAGACAATTAAATTTAAATATAAATTTAAATATATCAAGATCCCATAATAATTAAACATTGGATAAAAATGAAGAAAACACCCACAATATTTTAAATATAAACATACAAATTAATTAAGCACCCATGTGGAGGATGTAAAAAAAAACTCACAGAGAGTGGAGTAGTGTGTTTGTGACTGTCTAAATATGTATAAAATACAGATAAAACAAACTGGCTAGATATCATAGCCTTTTGGGGATGGCTATTGAGAGGTTGTATAATGGAAAACAAAATACAGAATATCTTCTTAAAAACTTCTGGTAACTGCTTATGACAAAACATTGTATTAAATGGTAAAGTTTGTAGAAAATATTACTTTTACCAAAACTTTTTCTTTTTAGCATTTTTGTTAGGGATAATTTCTCTGCTTTGTTTTGCACAATCATCAACTTTTCCTATGCATAAAATGTGACCATACTATGAAAGAAATAATTTTCCACACCTGCAATACAGTTCACAACACTATGCGCTAATTCAATTACTATAGTAAACCTATGGCAGCACTATGATTTAAAAATTTGATTAATTTCTGTCTGGTCATGATCAAACCTACCCTCATCATAGACTCATCCTTGATGCATGTTGAGAAAAACTCTTTTTTTTATACACTGCCCACTTTACGTACATCACAGTAAGATTTTTTTGGAATAAAACTCCATCATCTTAATTGAAAATTACTCCAAACTGTAAACAAGTTTGCTTCCAGAACTTTGATAGTCATTGTAAAGTTTCAATCCAGTTTATAGTTTTCATGTGGTGAAAAGCGATTGGTTCAAAGAGTATGATGCACAAACCTAAATCTTATAAGCTGGCCAAGCTAAGCTGAGATGAGATTTATTTCATGTCGGCACAGTGTAACTTTAAATATTTAATCTTCTCTCATCTTAACCAGCTTATGAATGACAACCCTGTAATGGTTGTTTGTTGCATAATGTGACTTTCCCTTCACTTTTATCATTATGTTGAACATAATTGTTATTATTCTTAAACAGTTCCTAAATATACTTTAGTTTGGTAACAGCATATCTCATTGACTCAGATTTAATCAAATTCTCACTGCCCATCTGCCATTTTGTATTAAAACTTTTATTATAAAATTTTGTTTTTACCAGACTAATAATATATGGGTACCAGACTAATAATATATGGGTACCAGACTAATTAAGATCAGAATTCCACAGTACAATGACGGTAATCTGGTGGACGACAACAACGTTCATGTTCTGTTTACCTTGTGGTTCACCAATCAAATTACAACTTTCCAATCTGAAAGTGAAGTCATTCGGAACATATTGGTACTAACAACAACTCCAACACTAATGTGCAACACTTTATCTCATGATATGATGCTAAACATAAGTGCGCTCCAAATTCCTATAATCATCAAAAAATTATATTTTATTTGGTATTTGTCAGACCTACATTTAGGAATGTGGAGATCTGAATTTAGAATGATATGGATTGTCCTTACACAGACAAATCTATTGGTAATAAAATATTCACAAGTCAATCCTATAGTTATTATCCCAAATGTATGCCTATAATTGCCACTAACTGCCATTCAGACTACTGTATCTCTGCTACTTAAGAAACAAGAATTGACAAAGATTTTGTTATTGCATTCAACTATTGTTTCCTTAGCAACATCTAGGTCATTCCTATGATCATCTATTCATAGAAATAGCTGATATTTTTGGAATAGATTAATCTTTCTTGTTTGCTAATACATTTCTGGCAAACGAAATGCATTTGTCTGCTGATGACAACAACAGATAAAGCCAAGGTGGTCCAAATGGGTTATAGACCAGAATCGACTTAGTGGTGTCACTTCTGTGACTATCATTTTAACTTTCATTCCCACGACTTTCAGTGTGATTGTTTTAAATTTATCAACCATATAATTAAAACTGCTTAGTAGATTAGTGAGATATTTTCTTATATTTTCATCAGTTCGAAGATTCCTTTATGTGACCTATCAAAATGAAAGCAGTTTCCTTTAATAACCAAGTTAAACGTGACCATACCAGGCACAATGTAACTTTTAATATTCAATCTGAAACTCCTTAAAACTTTATTATATAACTTGGATTTTAATATTTTATCCATTTAAAATATGTTATTATAGCTTCTGAACAGTGGAAACTTAAAATTACATTTCTTGGATAAATTTTTACTAAAACTGCCAAAGATATGTACTACATATATTAAAATTTTCTTTTAAAGTTTGTTTATGATTTCGATTTTCTGTCCATACAAAATCTTCATATTAAAAAAAACAAAACATTGTTTAATTATGGATGTTAAAGGTTGCTCTCTCCCTCTATATGGTTATGGTTGTAGAGAATTGGGGTGGGGTGCATCCAATATTTATTTAGATTATGGCAGAAGACCAACCCAGGCTCGAATATGGTTTGGAAGTTGGGTTAGTGAAATGTTTGGTGTACAGCTCTGTGCCCCCAGTCAGCAATGCCGACGGTTAAATAATACAAGGTACAAAGGAGTCAATAACAGCCATTTAATTAACAAATAATAGTAAATCACTCGATTTTCTCAAATGCTCCTCTCTCGCTCGGCCCTTTTGAGCATATCTCGTCATGCCATTTCTAGTGTGAGAGATTTACGCCTGTCGTTGGGTTTTACTCATCTCCTCATTCCCTCTAGGTTCCTTTTCCTCTTTTCGCTCCTCAAAGTCTACTTTCCACCTCTATTTCCCTCATCTATACGTGGACTCCAATTTGCCGACTCCGACTGTACCCACATATTGGTGGATATTAGTTTCCTTGACATGAATATTTGTAGAAACAATCTTAATATTTTTAATTACATTTACATCTAAAAATGAAATATGCGTACTTGATACAGTATAAGTAAATTAAATTGTCGGATGAAAATGATTTAGGCAAATAATGAATTTATCCAGTTCTTCAGTTCAATAATTCTGGATCATAAATATGTCATCTAAAAATCTAAACCAGATTAAACTTTTCTTTTTGAAGGAAATATTTTTCTAATTTACCCATGAAAAGAGAAGAGCATGAGGGAGCAACAGACGACCTATTGCCGTATTACTTGAATGTAATTTTTATTATTAAATTGAAAATAATTATTTTTCATGATAAGTTTTATTATTTTACAAATATCTTCACTAGACGGTGTACAATTATTAGGATTGTTATCAAGAAAATATTTACACACTTCAATACCATCTGTATGCGGAGTGTTGGTATATAGTGATGTGACATCTAATTATACCAATATCGAATTATCATTATTTGATGCCATTACGTTGTTGAATGCTTGAAGAAGCATGTATTATATGCGAAACTAGTTCCACGGAATTATCGGCGTTTGTGTTGTTTTTATCGCCAATTCTGAAATTATTCAACAACGTAATGGCATCAAATTATAATCCGCCACAAGGATTGACGTCTTTAAAACATAAGGTACTAAAACTATCTGAAAAACAAATGAAAGGTACCCTGCATAGCAGTTTTTTAAACAAATGTGTTGAGGAAGAAATCGTACCACCAGGTTTATGATTAAAACTGAAACTGTATATAGGAAGCGGAAGTGAAGAGTTCCAAAAGTTTATCGACAATCTATTACACAATGTGTAAACATATGTGAGAGATTATCAAAGCAACAACGAAAAAGATCTTTAAACTTTGGAAAACAGATGAAAAATGTTCGAGATGAACTAAAGAAGAAACTAGATGGGCAAACCCTTTTCAACTTCGAACAAGAAGTATACCAGAAAACAGATTCAACGAAAATTAATATACTTCGAACGCAAACTGAAAAACTGAACAAGAGCAAAAAGGAAAGAAGTCAGCAAGTTGAAAAAAAAACTGGAGAGCATCATATAATACATAAGCTACCGAAAAAAGAAACAACCCAGCAGCATTAAAGTAACAGATTATCACATCAACAGAGCAAGGAACGGCAAGAAGGGAAGTATTCAAAACCCAAAGAAACATCAGCAAGGAAGATTAATACACATATAGCACTTCCAAAAACATCAGTAACCCAAAGAGTTAACATAAATAGGAATTTTGAAAATTCCAACATGCTGACCAACAGCGAAAAAACTTTACTCCCAAGGGCACAGCAAAGAAGACATACTCAGAAGCCGGAAAATGGGGGAGGGGCAATAATAAACAATGACCATGAGAAAGATACTGACAAACTTGGTAAAGGTTCTACAAGGATTAATAGAGACAACGTCCCAAGAAAGAATAATAGATTTCGAAGATTCAAGAGTAGAAGAGAGTGGAAGATCGAAATAAAGCGAAGAAAACAAATTAAGAGAGGTAAAGAAACCGTATTAAACCTCTCATGTAGACAAAACTGATAATGACTATATATTGTTAGGCAAAGGGCTAAAATTCTGTCCAAAACCGAAATATCACGATTGAATTAAATTAGCTGGAGATATTTTGTACTTATCTAGACGCTTAAGATTAAATTTTTTTAATGATAAACGATGCAACACTAAAGAGGTTAAATTGGATTCTTCTCATTCTTAAAAAATGTTATTTTAATACAAGTAAATCATTTTTTACATCACCTAGTGGACGTGATTCCCATTTAGATATGTATATTGACGCAAACACGAATGAAATATTACATTAGAGTCACCAAAAGCGATATTATAGTAATATTTCTAAAGACGAAATTAAGTCTTTATATAAACTAATGAATGACGACAGTATAGTGATTAAAAAGGCTGGTAAGTCAAACACT